TGTGAACACCGCAGTTATAGGTATCGAAATCGGCCCCTTTATGGGCCACGAAACGAAGTACTGGGCGGGGGAGACGCATGCGGGCTGCGACATGGGGACCCTCGGTGGAGCTCCCTGTGGGGCCACGGAACGCTGTACTGGGTGAGGGAGACGAGTGGAGCTCCCCTTAGAGGGCCACGAAGAGTGTGAGGGGTGTGCCGAAATGGGGCGGCGCCGCCATGCGGACGGCGCCACTGGTACCTTGGGTGGAGCTCCCTATGGGGCCACGAAACGTGTGAGGGGTGTGCCGAAATCGGGCGTCGCCGCCGTGCAGGCGTCGCCACTGGGACCTGCGGTGGAGCTCCCTGTGGGGCCACGAAACGAATGAACGGTATGCCAAAATGGGGCGGCACTGCCATGCGGACGGCGCCACTGGGACCTTAGGTGGAGCCCCCTGTGGGACAATGGAACATGTGAAGGGTGTGCCGAAATGGGCGTCGATGATGGTGACGATAACGACGATGATGATGAAAATGACAACGACGATGACAATTGCGATGACGATTGCGATGACGATGACGATGACGATGATGACGATGAAAACGGTGATGATGATGCTGATGATGATGATGCTGATGATGATGATGATAACGATGATGATGACGACGACAACAACGATGATGATGATGATGATAATGATGATGCTGATGATGATGACGATGATGATGACGACGATAATGATGATGGTGATGATGATGATGATAATGATGATGCTGATGATGATGATGACGACGATGATGACGACGATAATGATGATGATGATGACGATGATGATGATGATGATGATGCTGATGCTGATGATGATGATGATGATGATGATGATGATGATGATGATGTTGATGATTATTATGATGATGACAATGATGATGATGGTGGTGATGATGATGATAGTGAATGATGATGGTGATGATGATGATGATGATGCTGATGATGATGATGATGATGGTGATGATGGTGATGATGATGGTGGTGGTGATGATGATGATGGTGGTGATGATGGAGGGAGGAGGGGGATGAATGGGAGGAGGGAGGAGGGGGAGGAGGAGAGGAATGGAGGAGACGCGGGAGGCTCTCTCTCTTCGAAACGAGGACCCAACACCACAGGACGGTTGGGAAAAAACACCGAAGCCCCCCAAAAAAACGATCCCCGAACCTCAATGACGGAGATCCGATGTTTTGATGTCTGCCACTCGCGGTCCGAAGCCCGACCCTTTCCCTGGGGGCGGGCTGCTCAGCCCGAGCCACTTCTTGCTGCGGTCCTGCGGGCCTGGTGAGGGCCCCCAGGAGGCCGAACATGGCGAGGAAGCCTCCGCCCTGAGTTCCGATACGCTGGAGATCTGCGAAGCCTCTCCCCCTCGCCGCCCTTCCACATCGGGGGCGTCCACGAGGGAGACGTCCAAGAGGGGGGCTCGCAAGCACGGCCCGAGGCACGCGTGCAGCCCAGGAGGGGGCCCGGGGGACATGTTGAAATCCGCTGACCCTGTCGGCGCGTGTGAGGGACTCGTCTGCTCGAGTCGTCGTCTCCGTCAGTCGTCGTCTCCATCGCCCCCTTTCCCTGCACCCTCCTCGTCAAGCCTGTCCGCGAGAGAAAGATCTAGCAGTGTCGTCACCGAGTCGAAAGGCCGCCCCTTCCCTTTGATCCCCTCCCCGTCCCAGGGGGTTAGGGTCCCAGGGGGAGTAGGAGGGGGGGTCCCCGGGGGTAGGGGGGGGGTCAGATATGCATTCCCCCGTGGGGGTCTCGAGGCCTCAAAAAGTACCAAGACAGGCCACGAGTGCCCAAAGAGGCCCCCGAGACGGTCCAAGAGGGCCTCCAATCGCTAAACGATCGGTTCAAAACGCCTTCACGCCCTCCAGACTCGGACTCCAGACTGCTCAAGACCTCCAAGACGTCCCAAGGAGCATCCAAGAGCACTCCCGAGAGGGCCCCAATGGCAAAATCAATGTTGTAGATTATTTTAGGGGTTTGGGCGTTATCGCCTTTTCCTCTTCCCACCGCTCCAAGACGGCCCAAGAGGCCCCCAAGACGGCTTCAAGAACGTGACCAGACGGGGGGCCCGAACGGACATTTCGAGCCCTCGGCCCCGAGAGGCTCCCAGGAGGCCCCAAGAGGTTCCCAAGAGGCCCCAAGAAGCCCTCCAGAGGTCCCTGGGAAGCCCGAAGAGGAGGCCCCCAGGAGGCTCCCCAGAGGCCCCCAAGAGGCTCCCAAGAGGCCTCAAAATTTCTCCCCGGAGGCCCCCGAGAGCCTTCCAAAGCCTTCCAAAGAGATCCCAAGAAGCATCCCTCAGGACACTGGCCCTCGTCAGCGTCGTCGTCGCCGCCGCCGCCGTTGTCGTCTTTGTCGCCCTTCCAGGTCGGCGGCACCTGCCGCAAGGCCTTCGCAATAAGAAGACGAGCCATTAAATCTGGGGAGATATTGTGGCTCCAGCCACGATATCCACACCCCGCTAGTTTTCACAAGGCAACAAGCGAGAAAGCAGTACCCCGACCTTTCTCCCATCCCTCCTCTCTCTCCTCCCCAGCCCCCCCTTCCTCCTCATACGCGACAACCTTTCTTCCTCCCTCGCCTCCCCCCATTTCCTTATAGATAACTCCTCCCTGTCGCACCCCCGGACGTGTCAGAAGGGCGGGCTGGGCGTTTCGCCTGAGACGCCGTCACCTATTCTGAACTTGAAGTTTGAAATTCGCAACAGTTGCCAGGATGGAGCACAGGTCGCTTTCTCACCTTGGCGCCGAAAATTCAAAGAAAAAAAAAAAAAGCCTGGCGAAGGACCCAACCATATGCAGCTGTGAGCACCGCAGTCGTGAATATAATCTTCGGTGGAGCTCCCTATTGGGCCACAATACGTGTGAGGGGTGTGCCGAAATGGGTGTGGCAAACGCATGTGGACCCTGCCACTGGGGCCTTCGGTGGAGCTCCCTTTGGGCCACGAACCGTTCGAGGGGTGCGCCCAAATGGGGCGCCGCCGCCATGCGGACCCCGCCAATGGGGCCTTAGGTGGAACGCCCTGTGGGGCCACAAACCGTGTGAGGGGTGCGCTAAAATGGGGTGCCGCCGCCATGCGGACCCTGCCACTGGGGCGTTCGGTGGAGCTCCCTATGGGGCCACGAACCGCGTGAGGGGTGCGGAAAAATGGGGCGGCACCGCCATGCGGACCCTGCCACTGGGGCCTTCGGTGGAGCTCCCTATGAGGCCACGAGCCGTGTGAGGGGTGCGCCACAATGGGGAGGCGCCGCCATGTCGACCCTGCCAATAGGGCCTCCGGTGGACTCCCTATGGGGCCACGAACCGTGCGAAGGGGGCCCCAAAATGAGGCGGCGCCGCCATGCGGACCCTGCCACTGGGGCCTCCAATGGAGCTCCCTATGGGGCCACGAACTGTGTGAGGGTTGTCGAAATGGAGCGCCGCCGCCATACGGACCCTGCCGCTGGAGCCTTCGGTGGAGCTCCCTATGGGGCCACGAACCGTGTGAGGAGTGCGCCAAAATGGGGCGGCGCCGCCATGCGGACCCACTTTCAAACAACTGTGTTGTCACGGGGCACACCCCCTAAGGAGTGGTAATGACTCCTTGTAGGTGCCTGTGGAGAAGGATCTTGGAGGGAGGGTTTATTGAAATATCGTTGAATGGGTCTTGAGTTTACGCTCGTCCTCCTAGTCCTCCTCGTCTGCCTCCTTCTGTATATATATAAGATAATAAATAATAATTATAAACCATAAAATATTTCTATCTATAAATATATATATATATATATATAAAGAAATAAAACAAAAAAAAGAGGAAAAAAAAAAAAAAAAAAACTCCTTGTCGGACCCCGAATCCAATCGAAAGGGCGGGCTGAGCGTCTCGCTTGGGATTTCCCCACCATCTATGACCCTGAAAACTACAAATTGGCAACAGCTTCACAGATGAGGGCGGATCGCTTCAAAAACGTGGGTCTCGCCTGAGCGCCGCGCACACTCGTATACAAAAAAATGCAAGCAACTCACGGATGGGAGGCACGTTGTTTTCAAAATGTGGTTCTCGCCTTAGCGCCTCACACACTCGTCTTCAAAAAAAGAATTTCACGCATTGAGGGTGGGCATTTTTCAAAATATGGTTTTCGCCTGGGCGCCGCACACATTCATCTTACACATTTGCAAGAGCTTCACGGATGGAGGGCGGGTCGTTTGCAACACGTGGCTCTCGCCTCAGCGCCGCGCATACTCGTCTTCACAATTCGCAATGGTTCACTAATTAAAGGCGGGCCGTTTCCGAATCTGGTTTCCGCTCTAGCGCCGCGCACATTCATCTTTAAAAATTGATAGGGCTTCACGGATGGAGGGCGGCTCCTTTTCAAAATGTGGCTCTCGCCTTAGCGCCGCGCACACTCGTCTTAAGAACTTGCCCGATTGATTCACGGATTCCCATGGCTAACGTACAGGAAATTCCGTTTCGGAGCGATTCACGACAATCAGAGCGCAACATTTAGGTTGATTCGCTGCGTTGAAGTCCCAAGAATCGGTTCTGGCACAATTCAGGAATCAGAACGCAACAGTCAAGTTGATTCGTGGCGCTGCAATTCCAAGAATGGTGTTTTCGCACGCTTCAGGATCTGAAGAAGATTCTCTCCCAACGGGGTATGCCCCTAAGTGGAAATACACATTTGCAGGAGTTACTCTGGGCGTGCTTGGAGGGAGGGTCTATTCCAAAATCGTTGATGACTCTTGGGTTTACACGGGTCCTTTTCCTCCTCCTCCTCCTCCTCCTCCTCCTCCTCCTCCTCCTTCTCGTCCTCCTCCCCCTCCTCCTCCTCTTCTGCCTCCTCCTTCTCATCCTCCTCTTTCACCTCATCCTCCTCATCCTCCCCCTCCTCCTCCGCCTCCTCCTCCTCCACATCTTCCTCCTCCTCCTCTTCGATCTGTTTGCTCGATCCTTCTCCTCGACCCCGGTTCCCTTCGATCCCCCTCGATGCCGCCAGCAGGCCTTGACGGCCCGCCTCGCGCGACCCAGCACGCGCAGTCTGCCCGCGACAGCGGCGCCGCCGGAGCGGATGGTGCGCGCCTGGGGGGCCGCCGGTGGCCGTCCGAGGTGGGAAGCTTCGGGGGAAGGTGGCCCTGACATTACCTCCTGGCGTGGAGACATCACGGCGGAGGGTTTCGATTCACTTTCGGCCCCTGCTTGCCCTCACCGGGCCCTGGGGCCGTCCAAAAAACGCCGCGGAGAAAGAAAAGCCGGTGCCGGGGAACGGGCGCAGGCCTCTGGAGAGCGAGGTTGTGCAAAAATACGACCTCAGATGTCTGAGAGATGAGGGAGGAGGTAGGGAGAGAGAGGGAGGGAGGAGGGAAAAGGGCGAAAGGAAGGGGATGGAGGGTTGTGGGGAGGGGGGCTCCGCGCCTTAGCGCCTCCCGACGTCAGTGCCAAGGGAGGAGGAGAAGGAGGAGAAGGAAGAGGAGAAGGAAGAAGAGGAAAACGAGGAGGAGGAGGAGGAGGAGGAGCAGGAGGAGGCAAATCGCCGCCAGAAGGACTTGCCGCCCACCGGGCTGACCACTCGCTCTGCCTCGGGAAATCCGCGCCCTGAATGGACCAGCAGGAGGACGGGGCCTTTGGCCACGCCAGAGCCGACAGCGCCGCAGCAGTGGGCCGCGCGCGCGCCTTCGCCGCACGGTTGCGGGAACTGAGAGCCGCCAGTCTCTCAGCCGAGGCCGCGTACACGCTCCTGTGCACCTACGGGCGGGGATGCGTCACGCACCACCTCAGGGGCGAACCTGCGGACCGGTTGGGTGCGGGGGCTCGACGACGTGCTGTTCGCTGCGTTCGGAAACCTACTCGCGGAGCCCCTGGACGACGCGCGGCGCCTGCGAGCCACGCGGCGCCTTTCCGGCGGAGGGTGCGCCGTCCCTTCCGCCGCCCAGACCACGCTGGCCGCGCACGCCGCCAGCTGGGCCCTCTGCCTTCAAGACGTAGCCACCTGTCTAGGGGCCAGCACACTGGAGGAGCTTCGCGCCCGCTGCACGCGCACCCTCCAAGCCATCGCCCAAGCAGAGCAGGCGATCCGGCACGCAGGCGCAGTCAGAGGAGAACCTTTCAACCTGCTTGACTACACGCGGGAGCCGCAGCACAAGCGGCAGGGGCAATGTGGGAAAGCAGTTTCCGAGGCCAGCAAGCAGCGACTCGTGGACACGCTGTTGGACGAGGATGGCCGCCTCTCGCTGCGCTTGGCCAGGGAACGGAGGCGGGGTCCTTCCTGCTGCCCAGGCACGACGGTGACGCCGCGCAGCCAGACAAGCACTTCCCCACCCTGAAGATGCGGCTGGACTTGCCCGTCTGCCAAGTAGTGGCTGTGTGTCAGCACAAGAACAAGACAACTGGGCAACTCTGCAACAAGCCGCTCAACGGAAAAGGGTGCACGCGAGACAGTACAAGGTGGGAGGGCTTCGGACTGACTGGCACAACCGACTGCGGGAATGACACTCCAAGCGACACGCAGCACGAACTGGGCACGCTGCCCCCACTGAACAACGCGTGCCAGGGTGGGACCGTCGCCTCCACATCAACCGCCTCGAGGAGGCCAAGCTCGAGGTGGCCACCGTCGACCACAACAGCGGACGCCACATCTTTGTGGACTGGACAGTGACCTGCGCATACTCCATCTATGCCCCGCGCAGGCAGGCCCGCTCCCACAGGAGTTGCCTGGCGGCAGCCCAGAAAGTCGAAGACAAGAGAACGCAGTACCCCCCGCAGCAGGGGCTCGAGCTTATCCCCATCGTCTTTGAAGCGGGGGGACGGCCCTCCGACGAAGCAGCGGCCTTCGCGGATAGAGATGGCGGCGACCTCGATGATGACGAGCGGGGCGAGCCATTGGGTGGCCTCTGGCGGCAAATCTCGGTGACCCTGCAGACGGGCAACGCCGACGTGATCCTGAGCGCCCTCGGGCAGCCATCTGCCGCGACGGCTGCCAGTGCCAGCTGGCGCCGCCGGCGCACCTCGGTGGCCACTGCGGCCAAAGCGGCGCCAGCGGCCAGGGCCGCCACCACCACCAAGACACCCACTACCGCGACCAGGCACCCGCGGCCACAGCTACGCCTAACCGCATGAAGCTATTAAGGACCCCCTCGGGGTTATCATTAGCACCGCACCGTAATTAAATAATTCTGGGGGGTGGTTTTCGCCGAACGATATAGTCAGCACCACGCAAATGAACGAAAATGAAAAAAAAAATCCCGCGCCCTGGCTCGAGTGATATCCCAATTGGAATTGGAATGAGAATAAGAATGAAATACGAGTAATATGAATAATAATAACAGTAATAAGAGTAAAGATAAAAAAGAAATAATAAGACAAGTAACAATAATAATAATACAAGTAAGAGTGATACTAATCAAAATACGAATACTAACAATAAGAGTAAGAATACGAATAATGATAAGAATAATAGCCATAATCAAAATAAATGTACGGATACGAATAAAAATAACAATCATAGTAAGGAAAAGAATAAGAATAATAATAATCATATTCAGAATGAGAACAAGAGTTGTTTCTCAGTATCTTCGTCATCCTTGTCCTATACGGTTTGTATTACCATCCCTGTTGGAAAATTGTTGTTTCCCGGCCGTCATGTGGGGTCGCGCATCCAAAAATACCGCCCCCGCTACGCACGGCGCGTTATCTTAGCACCGCACAGGCACAAAATAAGTACGACAGCTTGTCAAAAAGACGAGAAGTACAATAAGACCAATAATCAAAATGATAATACAACTAAGAATAAGACTAAGAATAAGAATACTAATAATAATGACAACAATAATAAGAAAGAAAATAAGAATAAGAATAAGGATAAGAGTAAGAGTAATAATAAAAAGAGTAATAAAAATAATTAGAATGCGAATAATAATGATAAGAAGCGTAATCATAATAATGATACGGATAAAAAAAAGAATCATATTGAGACTACGAGTACTAATACTAATAGCACTAAGAAGAAGAATGATAGCAATAATGATAATAAAAACAAGAACAAGAATAAGAATAAGAAGATTTGGGTAAGAGTAAAAATAAGAATAAGAGTGATAATAATCAGAGTAAGAATAATAATCATAAGCATAAGATCAATAGTCGCAATTAGAGAAATAGTAAGAATATGAATGAGAATCTGAATAATAAGCATAATAGGAATCAGAAAAAGAGCTTGGTCTCATAATATTCATCATCCTTGTCCTATACGATTTGTATTACCACCCCTGTTGAAACATTGGTTTTTCCTGGCCGTCGTGTGGGGTAGTGCATCCGAGAATATCGCCCTCGCCACGCACGGCGCGTTATCTTACCACCCGCACCGCCAAAATTCTTCGCCCCCCATCGTAGGCACGGACGGTTCCTTTTCAAAGCTGGGCTCCCCCTTGCGTGGGACTTAATGTTGTCATTGTTGGTGTTGGCGTTGTTGGTGCTTTTGATGTTGATGTTGTTATTGGTGTTGTTAATGGCCTTGTTGTTCTAGATAAAAGTCTTATTGCTGGCATTATTGTCGTTGTTCGTGTTGGTGCCGTGCCGTAAGGGAGTCTTAGTCGTGAGGAGGAGGAGGAGGATTTTTCTGTTTAGCTGGGCCAAGGCCTCTTGACTGAGGACTTGGCCCTCGGCTTGATCCGTCATGCCGAATAAGAGCCAAAATATTGCGAGAATGTCTCAGGCGGCGTGCTTGTTTCGGCGAGCAGACTCGTCTGCGTTCACATAAAGGTGCGAAGTACCAGGGTGACGTTTCTGGGGTGCCGGTTGCGTCGTTATACTTTCGCCGGAGAAGGGGGGGGTTCTTAATTGCTTCTCCGGGTTACAACGAACACCCCCGCAACCACGACCCACACGACCGCCTCCAACGCGACAACCAGCTGCCGACCTCCACGACCCCCACCGCGACCACCACGCCAGCCAGCTCGACCACCACTTCCGCTTCTGACCTCGCCCCCTGTTCCCCCTCCCTCTCCTTCCCCTCCCAAGGCTGGGCCGCCCCTGCTTCCGCTTGTTCTCCTGAAGTGGGTACTACAGCTAGGCCAGGAGTGCCACGGGGCCGGTCCTCAAAGAGGCTGTGTCCCCGCGGCGGCCTGCGGGGGACCTGGGACAGAACCCCAACGCCCCAGGGTCCCCCTTGGTGACGGGTGTGGGGACCCACTCGCGAGCCCCCGGGCTTTTTCGAGCAGGAGGCAGGTCCGTCTCGAAGCTCCAACCCAAACGCACCGTGGGAGAGGTCTACGGGTCGACTTTTGCCCGACCCCGACCCCCGCGCGTCGGAGAAAGAGCACGACGGGAGGTGTTTCGCCATCACCCTCCGGGAACACACACTTTTTTGGTCGGCGGGGCGAGAGCGAACCTCTTCCGCTTAAAGCTAGGCGGGCTACGCACAGCTTGAATTAGGGAGACAACCCTCCGGGAACACACACGCACGTTCAAACACACACACACACACACACACACACACCGCGAGCCCTAAGACCATGAAACTGCTGGGGATTCGGAAAACCAGTCCCGGGGGAAGCGGTGGGGGGGCCTTGGGGCGTCCACGGCGGGAAAAGTCGCGAAGCCTGGGCCACCGCCATCTAGAAAACCCGCCGCGGAAAGGGGTCGGCACCTCAGGGGGTCCCCCATAAAAGTCAGGGCTGGACCTAAACGTTGTTGTTCGTTTTGTTTTCGTTGTGTTTTGTTTTTCGTTTCGCTCTACCTGTTTTCCTGTACCTCCCTCCCAAAACGAAAAACAAAACACAGCCGAAGTCCAGCAAAAAAGCGTTTATATCCAGCCCTGATTAAAAAAAATGCCTGGCGAAGGACCCAACCACACTACGCCATTGTGAATAACGCAACTGTGAGCATCGTCCTCAAAGGAGATCGCTATGGGGCCACGAAACGTGTAAGGGGTTTGCCGAATGGGCGCGGTGGGCGCATGCGAACGCGGCCACGAGGGCCTTCGGTGGCGCTCCCTATGGGGCCACGAAACGTGCGAGGGGTATGCCGAAAAAGGTGGGGCGGACGCATGCGAACACCGCCACTGGGGCCTTCGGTGGACCTCCCTGTGGGGCCACGAAACGTCTGAGGGGTGTGCCTGCATGGGTGCGGCGGGCGCGTGCGAGCGCAACCACTGGGGCCCCTGGTGGAGCTCATCATGAGGTCACGAAACGCGCGAGGGGTGTGCCGCAAGAGGTGCGGTAGGCGCATGCGAGCGCAGCCACTGGGGCCCCGATGGGACCACGAAACGCGAGAGGGGTGTGCCGCAGGAGGTGCGGTGGGCGCATGCGAAAGCAGCCACTAGGGCCCTCGGCGGAGCTCCCTATGGGGCCACGAAACGTGTGAGGGGTGTGCCGAAATGGGTGCGATGGGCGCGTGCGAGCGCAGCCACTGAGAATCTCGGTGGAGCTGCCGATTGGGCCACGAAACGTGAGTGATGAGCCGAAATGGGTGCGGCGGGCGCATGCGAGCGCAGCCACTGAGGCCCTCGGTGGAGGTCCCTATCGGGCCACGAAACGCGTGAGGAGGGTGCCGAAATGGTTCACTGGTGCGGAGGGCAGAGGCAGGGATGGGAGGAGCGAGGAGGGGGAGAAGGAAGAAGGAGAGGACATGCAGGGCGCCGTCGCTCGAAAACGAGGACACAACACCACAGGGTAGATCGGAACTACAGACCAAAGCAATAAGGCCCGTCTCCCCTGGGACCCCAAAAAAGACACATCGTGAAGAATCGCGGCTGGAGCGCTCGACCCCACCTTTCTTCGGGGATCGCTCTGCGAGGGCCCCCAGGGCCAAGAACTGGGCGGAAACGCCCCGTGTGAGAAAGGATGCGACGCTCGCATCTCAAGGGGAGGGACAGACACTCAGCGCTCCGATGTTGCTCGATGCACGGGCCGCTGAACCTCTCGACGCCTCCCCTTCCCCAAGGCCGGCTCTTCCTCCCGAGCGGTCTGGAGGCCCGAAGCTGGCCTCCGAGATGCCACAGTGGCGACAAACCGGCGGCCTCCACTCCTCCGAGGCGCCAGACATCCTAGGTCACCTGACTTCGCGCGTCGCGCCCCGAGATGCGCGATGCACAGCAGTTGTCTCTGGACCCTCGCGACGCACCCGAGGAGAAGGCCAGCTGTCCGACCCAGGCCGCGATGCTAGAACCGCTGTTATCCTCGCAACCCCGTAAATGACCTGGGATATCCCCAGACATCCTTCGCCGTGATTCCTTCATAACGTGGCTGCCCAGGATCTGGACCTCGCCCCCAGGACCTGCTTTGCATCCTGCGTCGTTTTGCGACGATCCTGGTGCCCAATAAAAGCCTCCCGGAGGCCGACACTGGGCAAAAACCCTGCGTCGTGATGTCTATCTCAACGCAACTTGGGGGCGTCCAAGAGGGGGGCGTTCAAGAGGGGGGGCGCAAATCATGGCCGGCGGCATGTGCGCGGCCCAGGGGGGGGGGGGCGGGGATAAGAAGGCGTCATGAAACCTGGGGAGATATCACGGCCCCCGCCATGATATCCACCCCTCCTGGTCATCGCCCCCCTCTTTGCCGCCCCCAAGCAAAGATGTCAGGGCCCGCGGGTGCCCAAGGCCATCCGGGGAGAGGGACGGGAGCCCGCGGAGGGCGGCGCGGGCTCCGCAGCGGCGGGACGCGCGCGCCGAGGCCTCGGCGCGCAGCTGCGTTAAAGCCCACGCCAGCGCCGCGGCACTGGCGCCTGGGCCGCGGCGGGGCCTGGAGGCAGCGGCGCCGGAGGGAGGCGAGCCCTGGCCCCACGCCGAGGAGAAGGGGGCGATCTCGGCTTTGTCAGGGGTTTCCTCGAAGGGACGTCCCCCAGATCACACGGCTTCACACATCGCGCCCTGGCGGTGCGCGCACTGCGATGCGCGGCGTGCGGATAGCTCTGCGCCCTCGGGAAGCCCCCATGGCGAAGGGCACCTCCTGGCCCATGCCGCGGCGCTTCAAGCGCATGTGACCTAGAATCCCTGACCAACCCTGGGGAACCCCGTTCTTTGCGGCCTGGTCAAGGCCTCGTATCCTCCCACGGTGGGGAGGGCGAGGGTAGGGCGGATGTGGGGAAAGACCCTGGGGCGTTGCCGCTTTCTCGCATAGGGCGTTTTCACCCGGTTTCGAATCCTGGGGGCCCTCACGGATCGATCCAACTGGACATGTGCCGCAAGAACATGGGGTCAAGGGCGCTGGCTGCGGTTTGTAACGATGCTATGCTTCCGCAACATCGAACCCCTCAAGGCCTCCAAAAGTGGGTCCGAATCGATGGGGTCGGAGGGTCGCGCCACATCACCGATGTGTCGTCGATGCATCAGCGACGTCAGGGATGAAGCGGCAATCCTCTCTCCCCGATCTGGGTTTGGGGGGGCCGCTTCTGGGCCCCAGGGCTCTCGAGTGATCTGGGGCGGAAAGCCTGCTCCAGGGAAAGGAACAAGACCCCGAGGCAAGCGGATTGAACAAGAAAAATTCGTCGGAGGGTCTGGGGTGGGATGTGGGATGGCTACACGCTGACACTGTTATCACGAGCGGGGGCCATCCCCGTCGAGGGGGGCCGACCCACGATGATGGGTTCGCGGTCCTGTCTGAGCCCAGGCGGCCTTAGCACTACCCCCATCACTACTACCACCGAGATCGAGCGTCGTCCTCCTGCGGTGGAAACATCCCCCCATCTTGGTGGTGATGGCAGTTTGCACCCAAACACCTACACGTCCAGTGCTGCACGTTGTTCGACACGCGGGCCCAAAATCCTCTCGGCGCCTTCCCAAGCGCAGGCTTTTCAACCAGGCCGCTTTGTCAACGATGCTGGGGCCCATATCGGGCCCCCCCCCAGACGCCGTACACGCCGAGGAACCTCCGCCCTGATCCCTTGAGGACGTCGGACCCTCTCTGACGACGTCATGATCTGGCCGTGAAGCGTGGTCCGTGATGGGGGTTCGATCCTTTCTGCATGAATGGCACCCATGCACTGCACATGTTTGGACTCCCATCACGCCCCACTCCAATGCGGCACTGTGCATACTCCGAGTTCCCTCGCCGACAGCCCCACATCGACCACCGCGGCGGGCAGTCAGGGCGCGCCGAAGGCGCTCCGACCCCCGTCGCGGCGCGACGACGAGGCGAGGTTGACCCCGTCGGGGGGGTACCCCCCCACGCTTATCAAGAAACCCACAGTAATTTTTCGGCTCCGCGAGCAAAAAAACTACGCACTGCACCTTTCATGGGTCGAAAAGCCACGACACCTGGGCAGACGCCAACGCTGCACTGGTGTTCACGGGTCGTCCGCGGACCTTCCCTGGGGCCGGCTCTTCACCCGGCGCCCCGTTGTTTGACGGCCCAGAAGCCGGAGAGCAGACTCCAGAGGCCGCCAACGGTCAGAAAACTGGCCGTGGCCACATGTTGATTTAATCTGTGGAAAGAACACACACAACCTGCGGAAATAAACACACACACACACACACACACTTGTGGGAAAAAAACACACACAGATTGTGCGCGCGTTTTGATTTGGCGTCCCCCTCCCCCATTTCCCCCTCCCCCGGGGTCCAAAATCCGATAAGACGCAGGGAGGTCCAGGCTCCAAAACGCTTCCCTAGGGTCACTGGAGCCTCCAAAAAGCCCCCAGACAGCCGAAGAGGGTCCACACAGATTGCCAAGATAATCCCAGAGAGCGTCGAGACAGTACAGGGTAGGCTCACGACGGTCCAAGATGTCCTCGAGACAGCCCACGAGGCCCCCAAGACGGCCCAAGAGTGTTTTCAGAGACCCGCCGGGAAAGGCCGAATGTGCAAAAATTGCCCCTTCACTTTGGAAAACGGACATCTTTAGCATACTCGTCTTTCTTGTTTGGGCACCGTCCAAGATGGCCAAAAGGGCCCCCAAGACCGTCACAAGACGGGCCATGAGGCCCCTAAGAGAGCCCCGAGACGGTTCAAGATAGCCCGAAGACGGCCCCAGGGGCCCCCAAGATGGCCCAAAAAAAACATCTTGGGCCCCAAGAGGAACCCAAGAGGGCGAATACGAGCTGACAGTTCGAGCCTTTCCCCCCAGGATGACCCGAAGCCGCCCCTCGTATGAATCCACGCGCCTCTTGACCCACTTCATTCCTTGAAACGAACGCTGCAAGCTCTCACTGCATCTCCACACTCCGTGGACGCCCCCCAGTGTCCGTCACGAGACCCCGACAACGCTCCGAAGCGGTTCCCAGAGCGCTTTATGATTGCCTCCTACAGCCTTCCCTGAGCCTTGCCCACAGACTACCACAGGCATAGACGCGGAGACCGCCGACCCACATTTGCAAGGGTAAGACCGCGCGCGACATGCTCGGCCCCAGCCTTTCCCATTGAGCTCTACTCTCCCAGAGCCCTAAATCAAGTTCGACAAACGGGTGACGAACTTGACATCGTCTCTTCCAGGCCAACAGAACCTTCTGACATAGACCGCTGGCCGAAGGCCCCAAGAGAACGGGCAAGGCCGCAGGAGAACCGAGATACGACACAATGGCTGCAGGCCCCCATACTCCGAACGACTTCCGCGATCGTGCATTACTCTTTGTCGTGTCTGGGGGTCGGCGGAATGGCGTAAGCCACTCGTATAAGAATTGAGGCGACTGGGTGACGCCCGATGGTCTGGTGGTCCGTCGGCGCGAAGCTCAGCTGCTCTGGAATGGCATGATGCACAGCGCAGGACCAAAGAGTTTATTGCGCCACTCGGATCTGCGGGTCTGCTCAAAGCCACGTCAGGCCGACGTTCGCCGATGAAGGAGAGACGGAGTGGGCACGTCTGCCCTCCCCCATCGCCCGCCAGATCGACACCTTCCCCCAGCCTCGCCGACGCTGTGGCCAGGAAGGCTCGGGTGGGTGAGCGAGAAGAGTCTGTTGCTCCTCGTGAGGCACTAAGCCATGCAGTTCAACCCCTCTGCGACTGGGATGGGCGGAGGCGGAAAAGTGGGAAGGGGACGGTCTCGAATGCTTTCCGAATGCTTCGCATGATCCTTCGGGAGTCCTGAAGATTCGCAACGAAAATTGCACAAGGATTCGGTCGATTTCGTGGGGGGGTCCAGAGGTACGGAAGAAAATTGGAGGATGTCGCAAGCTTCTCTAGATGCTTGAAGCGATTCGGAGGGCTTCAAAGGCTGAGGGACGTTCGAGTTCTGTGTTGGAATTTCGCACTGGCTTCGGAGACCACTTGAGGCTGAAGAACAGGTGAGCACGATGCCATGCGATTAACCTACATACCCTGCCATATGCCGTTATCACTTAGCATCGTTTATGCCGTGTCGACGCTGCTGTTGGACTCTGACACCTCGCAGATCATTCAATCGCGGGCCATCTTAGACAGCCCACAACAGCAGAGCCATGAGGAGAAATGACGAGAGAATGAAAGGAGAACAAACGACGACAAGACAATTCGAACCTATTCGGGGCAACTCAGGAAGAAACAACAGGCGTCTTGCCGATGTCGACTGCCGCAAAGATCCTTTAAGGTTAGCCTGGCTCGGCCCCCGACGGCGCCGCCGCCGCGGCGACGCGGAGCGACCCTGCCGTGCCAGGCCGAGCTACTCGGCGAGCACACTTGCCGCAGTGCCCGACGCGCGCGCGCGCCCCCCGGATCGCCCGCACCTGCAACGCCGTGCGGAGTTCTTACCCTGTGTGGACGCCCCGTGCGGCGCCAGATGGCAGCTCGCGACGCCGACGCCGAGGCGAAAACCCGCCCACGGGACGCGCCCGGGCTCCTCCACCGCCACACGACGATCAGGAGCAGGCGGCAAGCTGCTGGGGGGCGAGCTCTTCTGGCTCGGCAGCCACGACCACAACCGCGCTGCAGCCGAGCGTCGGGCGTCGCTGAATGGGGGGGCGATATACGGGGGGGAGAAGCGTGCACCTTTCGCGCCCCTCGTGGGACCTAGCAGGCCCCTGTGGGCCCTTTAGAGCACAAAACGTGCACCAATCTTCACCCCCCCCTGTATCGCCCCCCCATTACGCAACGCCCGAGAGCGTCGAGATCGGGTGGGCGCCGGGTCGGCTGGGCTGGCCACTACACGACCCCTGGTGGAAGTCGTGCCCCAGGTCCGGGACCGCGGCCACGGCCTCGAGGCTCAGATTCTCGATCCGAAGTCCCTGCACACCGGCTGCGAATATCGCGGCCTGCGGCTGGTTCCGGATCACGACGTCCACAATGGAGATGTTGCTATGAGCTCCATGCACTGCGATCGAACGAAGGCCGCTGCCACCAGCGCACGAGTGTGTGAACACCTCGATGGCAGCTATGTGCCCCCTGGTGTTCAGCGCCACGTTGTCGAATACCCCGTTGCGAATGGTCACGTCAGACGCAGACGTGCCCTCCCCCCACTTGCACGGCTCGGAGACAATCGCAAGAGCGGTCATCATCCGCCACCGTGCCCTCGGCACGTTGCGGTGTTGCACAATACCAAGTGCTGTCTGGCATGGCAGCTGCGTGTCGTGAAAACGTTCGATGTCGGCCGATTCCGGCAAGCTGGCGGCAACCAACCTTGAACGCCCGCGCGGAGATCGCAACCGCATCGAAACAACACGAATCTACCACACAATACCAACTGCTGCCTGGTAAAGTATCTCCAAGTCTTCTGAGCCCCCCCCCCTCCGTCCAGCCAGGCCCAAGTGCGCCCATTCCTGTCCCCTCTGGAGGCTCTCCAGCAGCCCCGACGCCTCCCTGGGGCTTCCAAGGCCCTCCAAGGCTCCAAAGACGCCCCAGCCAGGCCACTTCATGAGACACCCAAGAGCCCCCAAGAGGACCCCAAGAGATGCCAAGAAAGCCAACAAGCCCTCAAAGAAGGCCAAACATTCATCGCACACTTTAAGCATCTCCATTTTGTTTCATACTGCTGGTGTCCTGGGGCTCTGTTCTGTATGGTTCCAACATTGCCCAGGAGGAGCCAAAGAAGAAGCCCGAAGAGTCAAATGAGAGCACCAAGAAGCCCTCAGACGGCCCCAGGCGGCTCCAAGAGCCCCAAGAGAGCCCCAAGGCGGCCCAAGGCTGGCCAATGCCAGCCTAAGAAAGCCTCAAAGAGGCCCCAAGAGGCTCCCAAGACAGCCCGAACAGACTGCCCAGACGACCGAGATGGACCGAAGACGGCCCAAGAGGGCCACCATATGGCCCCACGTGAGCCCAACAAAAAAAACCCAAGACGGCCCAGGCAGGCCCCATTGGAGCCCTTCACGAAAGAGAGACGACATGTGTGTGTGTGTGTGTGTCAATGGTTACGGCATTCAGGGCGATGCCCCAAACATCGCCACACAGAGTGCTTCGGCCCCAGGGTGACAGAAGTTGCCGCAAGCAGTTGCATATTATCAACCACCTCGATTCCATCGACCAGTGTGTGGCTGCCCTTTATCATTCCTCTCGAGCGCGAGTTTCTCACCGTGACATTCCTCACCACGAGGGCCTCGGACTCATCAGGAGGCATCCAGCGAGGCGTTGCAGCGAAAGCTATGCGAGACGCCACGGAGAGCAGCGGAAACCCAGGAATGACCACGAAGCACGCAGCCCACCGATCGTCTTTCTGGTCGTCGATCCAGTGGCGACCGCGGAACTCGGCCTGGGAGATGAGGACCTGGTCGTCACTGAAGAAGAGAATAGTGTCATTCACCTTGGCCCACGCAGCTGCCTGGTTCTTGGCTGGTTCGTCCCACCACCATGGGGTCCCAACGTCCATGCAAACCTCCTCTGCCCTGGCAAAAGCACTGCTGCCGGTTATCCCCGTCTCCATGGTGTGGAAGTTCATGAAATCGTCGGTCCAGTTTGGAGGCGGCCGAGGGATTTGAACTGGATGGGCAACGAGAAAATCTGCCAAAAAGAAACGATAAGGGCAAATCAGCTCAGAATCGGTTCCCTGACCCCTCCCAGGTCCACCTGGTGCAGTTGTTCACCCCCGATATGTTTTTGACGGCCTAAGGGCCCGAAAACAGCCCCCAGAGGCTGAACAGGTCTAAAACCTTCTCGCGAACCCAGCACCTCGAGCCTCCCCCCTCCTACCTGCTAGCTGGAACCAATGCTGGGCCAGCTCAGACCCCCAGCCGACTCCAAGGTCAAGTGCTCCAGGGTCATGTCCTCCACCACGTTGCTGGACCCTGCGTAGCCGCGAACCCAAAGGGCGTCGTTGACCGTGCGCCAGCCCACCTCAGGCCGCCGGGCGACCTGCCGCGACACGTGGATTTTGAGCATCGTTTAACAGATCCCTATCCATATTATCGTGGTCTGGGCCCCGCTGGCCGACTTACCCCACTAGATGGGGATATAGGCTGTTCCCTTCGGGTTCCGAGGGGCCTGCTTCCCCAAACTGGGGAGGTGGGATGATGGGGCTGAGACGCCATGACCCAGTGGGAATAGGGATAGGTTAAACGATACTGAGATGTTGCGCACGCGGCTGCCCGCGATGGAGGGCCCCGCGAGGTTCCCGAAGGTGAGATCCCTCAGCACGAGGCCGTCCACGTCGTCGAACCAGACGCCGGCCACCGCCCGCTTCTGGTGGAGAGCCAGCAGGTGGTCGCCGACAACGAAGGACCTCGTGGGCGAAGAGCATATCCCCGTATCTGCGGCCTCGCGGGCTGGGCCTCTGGGACGGGGCCCTGCGGATACGGGGCGCTGTGCCGCGGATGCCCCGCGCGCAACGTATCCATGGGATCGCGCCCCCGAATCCAGACCGCGAGGGCGCGGATACGGAGATGTTCGCCGGCCGTGAGGACCCCGAGACGTCCAGCATGGGCGTCCGGCACACGGCGTCCACCTCGTGGAAGAGCGAAACGCGGAGGAGGAGGCAGCCCTCCCACTGGCACTCGCCCTGGTCGGCCGCCACCGCGGCGTCGTACGCGCGGCCGGTGCCCGCCTTGTCCAGGAAGACCTCCCACCCCGTCACCCGCTCCTGTGGAAGATCGGTGTCTCGCAACAGAGTAACCCTAGGCAAGAGTGACATTTGGTGGGCGGCTCCGGGGGGGGCGCGAGGAGGCCCAATCGAGCGCGCAGGCCGCCGCTATCGCATTACATTTCGCGACCGGGGGGCCAATGGGCCCGCACCAAAGGTCACGAAATACAGCAAAAGACGATCGACTCTTGAAGTAGGAAAGCGCTTGAAATAGATTGGGATCTGGATATCCCAAGCATACACAGTTCCAACGACGGGCGCGCACGTGCAGTCGAGAAGAATGAAGAGAACGGGAGCTTCGCACGTGCGCCGAGCCTGGCCATGGCGATCCTGGGTCAGAGAACAGGCGGAACCAACCCACCCGCGACCCCGCCGAGGTCGCCCAGGTAGTCGGAGCTCCTGCCATCAGCATCGGCCCCTAGGCACGCCGTGGAGCCACAAGGGGCGCACCGGGAGGCTTAAAAACGGCTCGCACCCTCGACACTCGACCCACGGCCAGAGGAGGAGACGGAAGGGGAGGAGGAGGAGGAGGAGGAGGAGGAGGAGGAGGAGGAGGAGGAGGAGGAGGAGGAGGGAGGAGGAGGAGGAGATGTTGTGAAAGCTTGTCCCGCGCAGGCTCGGCGGGTGGTCACCGAGGCTGGGGCGTCTCCGAGACGATTGCGCGGGGCAGGGTCGCAGCAAATTCAACACGGCGGGTCGTGGGTGGGGTGGGGTCGTCTGGTTTTCCCGGGCCCAGGCGCGGAGACTTCGGGCGGACTGAAGTTTTCAACCCTGGCGCTTTTCATTGATTTCGGCCTCCCGGGACCACCTTCGGGCCCCAGGAGTCTGAAAAATGGACCCTAGACGAAAAACTACAACCACCCCTGGAGTCATGGTCGAAAGCTCTGATGATCGTCGTCTGGTTCCCGCGGAGAGTAGGCAGGAATGGGGGGTGGATGCACGCGTGAACTCCAGCTTCGGGTCGGATGTTACACACATCGGGATGACTGATCAGTTTCTGCCGTCTCCCCCCGCTCCGCACCCTCTCCCAACCTCTCGCCTAATTCCGTTCCGCCACCTCCCCGCTTTGTTCATATAAAGTCACAGCGCTGTCGCTTGTTCACCTCTCCTCCTAGACTCCCCCCGCCCCTCGCATGCCCACCTCCCCACCAGCGCCATGAGAGCCTGCAAAAGCAGTCCTGGACTTGACAAGCGCTTGACAAACACGTCGCAGCATAGATCTCATCTACAGCCCCTCGGAAAGGGCCCGCGCGGATGAGACCACTGAAACCACAGAAAACGCAGAAACACTTCAACATCGGTCGTGTTCATTTTAAGTGTGTTTTGACCTGTTGCGTAGCGGGCGTCGGCTTGGCCAAGCCACTGTAGTTGTTCACCTGCACATACACTTCAGGGGAGGGGATGCCAGAAGGAGGGCTGCAGGACGCCGGGGATCAGCCTTCTGGGGGCGGTCCGGAGCCATCCTGAGCTATCCCCAGATGCTGGGTGCTGGGTGCCAGCAGGCAAATGTTCTACCCTCTGGTCGCTCCCCCTTACGAAGCCCAAGTGCTATGATTGCTACATCGCGACCATGCGGCCCTGTGGAAAGACGCACCTACATCCGTCCGTGAAAAAAACGAACCGCCGAAGACATCCTGACAACCTGGACACGAACCAGTAAGTGATCTACCCCCTGGTGGCTCCCCCTTGTGTTGCCCCAGTGACTAGATGCTAGAACTACCACATCGCGATGATTATGTTCGTGAGATGGAGAAGGAGGGACGAGGCGGGAGTGAGTGGGCGGAGGCGACATGAAAAACAAAAAAAAACAAAAAACAGAGGGAGGACGAGGAGTGCCATGGAATGGGGAGACGGAGGGAGGCGATGGAGTGGAGAGGACTCCGGAGGTGTGCCGAGGAGTGCACTGGAATGGGGAGGGAAGAAGAGAGGAGAGAGGAGGGAGGAGGGTAGAGGGAGGAGGGAGGGCGAAGGAGGAATGAGGAGGAGGCAGGAGGAGTGCCTTGGAATGGGGAGGCGGAGGGAGTAGTGCGATGGAGTGGGGAGGATTCCAGAGGAGTGGGGAGGAACGCCGAAAAGCAAGATGGAGGGAGTTGCGAGGAGTGGGGAGGGATGCCGAGGAGTACGGTGAACTGCGGAAAGGTTCAGAGGAGTGGGGAGGAGTGCGGAGAGGGGGGAGGAATGGAGTGAAGTGCGGAGGAGTACCGAGGAATGCGATGGAGTGCGGAGGAATGGGAGGCTCTGGAGGGCTCCTTGGAGGGCTCCGGAAGGCTCCTTGGAGACCTCTGGGGGACGCTTTCGTGGACTCCTGGGCTTAGCTGCCCCGATACGCAACACGCCACACCGACCGTGGCCCAACACGTAGGCTCAAAACGGAGACCTGGCTGCACCGAAAAGCGACATGGAGGGAGTTTCGAGAGGCTCTCCGGAGAGCCCAAGTGGCTTTTCGGCGGCTCCAAGAGGCTCCTCGGCGGCTCGAAGAGGCTCTTCGGAGAGCCTCACAGGCTCTTCCGAGAGGCTCTTCCGAGAGGCTCTTCGGTGAAGTGAGAGGAGGCTCTGTGGAGACCCCCCCCCCTTCACCGTACTCGTTGATTAATACCCTCCAGAGGATACTTGGCCATACTAACACCCACCAAGCCGCATTAACAACCAACGGGCCACAGTAACAGCTTTTTTCCCTATGGGGCCACGTAACGTGTGACGGGTGTGCCAAATAGGATTTGGGGGGCGCATGCGGGCTGTCCCACCGGGGGCTTCTGTGGAGCTCCCTATGGGGCCACGAAACGCTGTACTGGGTGGGTGCAACGCGGGGAAGAGGGAGGAGGGGGAGGAGGGAGGAGAGGAGGAAATAGAAACGCGGGGACCGTCTCTTCAAAACGCGGACCCAACACCACAGGATGGTTGGGAATAGAAAAAAAATCGTCGGTATACGATGTTTTGATTATTTTTACCTCTTCCTCCTGTTGATGGACGTGCCCGACTGAAACCCACTCGCCCACTCCTGAGCGTCCAGCCTCAGCAGGTGTACAGCGAAGAACGCGTCGTCCTGCACGGGGCCGCCGAGGCCCCACCGCGAGGACGCCAGGCCGAGGGGCACGCCCACGAGGCCGCCGCAGACCAGGCCGCGGCAGCGGTGGGAGCGCCGCCACGGAGGGCATCCTGCGCACAGCGCTGCCGAGCCCAGCCTTGGGTCGGGCGTGTCCCCCCTACAGGCGGATTTTTGGACGGAAAAGCAAGTGGCACGCGTGCCATGGCCCTTGCACATAAAGGAGAGGGAGGAGCAGGAGAAGGAGGAGGTGGAGTAGGAGGAGGCGGAGGAAGAGGAGGAGGAGGAGGAGGAGGAGGAGGAGGAGGAGAAGGAGGGGAGATGGAGAACGAGAGAGAGAAGGCGGAGGAGAAAGAGGGGGAGGATAATGAGCTAAAAGCGGCGGAAACGAATGACGACTGAGAAAACTGGGGACATGGGAGGACGAGGACGAAGAGAGAGAGAGAGAGAATGGGGGAGGGAGGACGAGGAGGAAGGAGGGCGAGGAGAAAAAGGAAGCGACGGGAGCAGGCAACAGAGTCAATAGACGAGGAGGGAAAAAAGCAGGAGGGAACAGCATTCACATATGCGAAGATGCCGAACAGGGGTCTGCAGGGCGGGCGGGGGAGCGCCCTGGCTGGTGGGCGACGAGGAGCTGGGCACACCGTGGGGGGAGGGGGGAGGGGCGCGGCGCCCGTGTGTGCTGGAACGGAGGGTCGGGGCGCAGGAAACGCGCTGGCTGGTTGGCGGGGGGGCACTGGGCTGGCCGTGAGGGGAGGCAAGGTCGCGGCGACATTGTTGTGCGGAAAACAGCGATCGGGGCGGAGAAGGCGCGCTGGCTGGTGGGCGAAGAGGGGTTTGGTTAGCTGTGTGGGGGGAGGGGAGGGCGCGGCGCCGCTGGCGTGACACACAAACAAAAAATAAAACAAAAAAAATCGGGGTGGAGGGGCGCGCTGGCTGGCGGGCAAGCAGAATGTGGGTTGGCCGTGGGGGCACAAGTGGGAGCGCGGTGCCGGTGCCGCCCGAAATGCGAAATAAAAGAAAAGGGGCGGAGGGGGCGCGCTGGCTGGTGGGCGAGGAACGCGCTGGACTGGCTGTGGGGGCAGGTGGCGCGCGGTGTTCGTGCAGTGCTGAAATGGGGGCGGGGGGGGGGGGGCGCGGGCTGGCGACGAGGACGTGGGCCGGGGTGGAGGGG